CTCTCTCTCTCTCTCTCTCTCTCTCTCTCTCTCTCTCTCTCTCTCTCTCCCTCCCTCCCTGGGCGCGTTCGTGAATTCAAGCTGGACATTGACTTTCGTTTTTTTTTTATAATCAGATAATTCTTTCTTTTTTATTTTTCTGTTTTTTCCCTCGTTTTTAGTTTTTTTTTGCCAACCACCAGTAGGTGTAGGCTCGGCCAGGGTCGGGCAACCGGTAACGGGAGGGTTGGGCCTTGACAACCGGAGGGTACTGGTGGTTTAAGACCTATCCTACCTAACAGCCGCGTGATTCAGAGCCTAAGTAGGCTAAAAAAGAGGGACGCGCCGGGTATAGGGCCGCGGCGCAGGGAGAATAGGAAGTTTTCTTTATTTCCTTGGCCCGCCGGCTTTGAATTCGAGCCAGGGGACTGGCAGGCCGATGCCGAGGCCTATTCGGTTGGGTGACCAGTCACGTCGTGGTCACACGGCCAACCAACGGGGCAGGGCCAGCAGGCAGGGCCTGCAAGGCTACAAGGAGGAGGAAGGCCAGGGCCAAGCTCTTCTTATAGAAAAGTTGTTCCTATCACTGCCGTGATAGCAGCTAGCCCAATAGGTATGACATCTGACTGTTACCCGGCAGAGACTGGGATCGAGCCTCGAATATGCCACCATTGGGCTAGCTCCTTTTGGAGCAGCCCCGCAATAAGGAGTTCGGGCACGGCTGATTTCGGCCGCACGATCGTCAAGATCATGCGGCGGAAATCCACCACGCCAAGATTAGAATGGCCCCTGCGCAAAGGATGACACGCATAAATGAAGAAATGACCCAGTTTTTTTTTCAATTCCCTATGGGAATCGGTCCGCTTATTGGAAGGGAAGGGGGAAGGCGCCAGCAAGGCGTGGTAATGACTGTTGTAGTCGTTGGCTTATGCCAACGGTATCAATGGTATTTTAAAGAAAAGAAAAAAAAAGAAAAAAAAAAGGCATGGTTACGATCCGGACGTCCGGACCGCCGTCCGGACGGTCTGGATTCAGTCCGGAATCCAGACGTCCGGTCTGGAAGGTCCAGATCTGGCAAATTTCGAGGAAAAAAAAAAAAAAAAACGGTCCAGGACCCTTCCCCATTGAGGAGCCAAGCCTTCAAAATTGTTTTGGGGGTTTTTCAGGCCCGTTTATGCTTTTTTTGGGGGTCCGGACATGCTCTCTCTCTATAGTAATTTATTAGACAACCCCAATTTTTTAATTATTAATAATTCATTACCTTTTATTGATTTTTAAAGTCTTTTTTTAAGCTTTTTATAGTTTTTGACTTTGAACTCAAGTTTGGTTAGGAATTCTGACATCACTCTGAGGCAAAAGTGGTTTGCATTGTTATTCTGCATAACATACTTTTTTTTCAGATTCTTTTATTTTTATTTTTTTTAATGGTCCGAACATTTCCAGACTTGTCCAGGCTTCCGGACCGTTCGGATCCCCCCATGTCCGGAGGTCCGAAAATGTCGGGAATTCCGGACGTCCGGAAACTACCGGACACGGGTCCGATTCCATGTCCGGAAATATCCGGGTCCGGGTCCGGCGTAGCCATGAAAAAAAGAAACAAAATGAAAACGAGGCAACAGCCTCATAGGAACAAAAGCCAAAAGAACAGCCTTTTCAGGCTGTGTGGGAACATGTTTAGCTCCTCACCTAGAAGACACGAATATTTGTGACTGCGGTATCTTGAATCTCGTGGCTCACGACACACGCATGGCAGAGGAACTGTGGGAGTTGAGCGGAGAGAGAGAGAGAGAGAGAGAGAGAGAGAGAGAGAGAGAGAGAGAGAGAGAGAGAGAGAGAGAGAGAGAGAGAGAGAGAGAGAGAGAGAG